CAGGAGCAAGCCACGACTTATCACCCATGTTGGGGACTCTAACCCCTATAATCCCCCGGAATGTGATACCTCTCAACTAACGCACTAACTTGCACCTTGCCAAGAGTGTTGTCCAAGTCAGAGTGAGGGTAATGCCCCAATGTCACACCTTGGTTCTCAGCCTCGGCCCACTCCTTGACCATGGGCTCTTCGACCTCTTCCACATCCACCACATCAGGGTGCCTAAGAATGTTCCCTGGGGCATCGACCCTCGGCCACGTGGAACCAATGCTCTCATGGGCAGAACCCGCACTCTGCTGATCACGCTCGGCCCCGCGAGACGCGACTCTCTCCCTCAGCACTTGGGCGCTAGACGTTCAAGAGGAGATTTCGAAGTCACTACTGTCACTCCCATCACTACTAGGAGTGTTGCTAGGGGTACTCTAGTCTAGAAGGTTATACTCCTCACAACTCGAATCCGAGGTCGACATGTTGAGGACAAGAATCCTTTACCTAAAGATTTTTGTTAGAAAAAGTTTAATGGAATTGGTTGTTGATAGCCAAGGTGTCCTCAGTAGCTCCCAGGTAGAAGGTTTCAAGCAAATGGTGGGGAGACACTTAACTCCATGTGGCACCGACCTTGGGAGATGAAATGACACCAAGAGACTGGGCCGGTTCACCCATCGACTCCGGCTCATGGATACGCCAAGACGGACCCCCCCTCCGCATCGTCTCGTGCACAACCTCATTCAGTTGACCCCGACGCCTGTCCTGCGTACAGGCATGCGACGCTTGTCTTGCGTACAGACATATGATGGGAAACATCAATGCCCATGCAAGGAACGAATAGTGGACGCGAACAACCTATGCCCGCATGGGCCACGATCACGACCCCTTGGCCCGAGATGGTCCTTTACTGACATAAAGGGAGAGCGGAGGAGTAGTTGCAATACAACCCCTGAGAAGAGCTCTGCAGCCAAGGCTGACACCTCCATGCAAGTACACTATACTCTCTTCGGCCGAAGTTGAGGCCTCAACGCAAAGCGCCAAACAACCTCGATCTCTACGGCCTCGAGAGTGGGGGGCAAGTGATAGTGGTATTTGGCCAACCCGCAGATCTTGACATGTGGCATCGGCTGGACATATCCTAGCCACTCATCAACAACCACTACCAACCGCCGCCACCTACTCCCAGCTACTCCTCTCAGGCAACTCCGACTATAAAGAGGGGCTCCCACATTGAGGTAAACACACACTGGAACTTTAGTTCTAAGTCCCCTCTCTTGGTCCGACCCCTTACAGCTTTCTTGGCTAACTTGACCGTCGGAGTCTCCACTCCTGGGATAACTCCCAAGGGCCTCTGACATCTTCTTTCTCTCAGCAAGTTGGACTTATCGGCCTCAGATGCCGGAAATTATATTGTTGCCCTCGGTTCCATATTTGGCAACAACAAAATCAATGATTTTTTACTAAAAATATGCATTTAACCATACAATTCAAATGGTTTGAAAGGTTCAACCATCCGAGTCGATGCCAATTTGAAAAGAAAAGAACCGGTGGTGACCATGGACCAATCCGACCTGAGATTGGGTGGAGCCGCCTTCTAGTTTGGGTTGCTACCAGGGGACCCTGGCCCACTTTTCTGTTGGGTCGGGTTTGCGAGTTGGGTCATTGCATGTTGACATATGCAAGTTTGGTCTCGATATATGCCGATGCATTAAGTGGGGCCAAATGAAAAGTATCAAAATTTTGCCATAGCTAAGAAAGCCATGTACAAATTTTGATTTTGGGAAAAAAAATCAAAAGCAAATCACTGGGCCTAATTCCTAAATATTCAGCCCATGAAAGTCAAACATCTTTTTTGAACCTCGGTTAGTTATTATTTAGGCTCAATTTGGAAAGATTATAAATACAAATATGTACGGTGCAAATACATATAAAATACAAAGTTTTGCACTCTACATATTTGCATTTGTATTCCTTCCAAACTGAGCTTTAGGCTCCATTTGGAAGGAGTATAAATACAAATATATAGAGTTCAAAACCTTATATTTTGTATTATGTTGTATGTATTTGTACTGTACATATTTGTGTTTATACAATGGGGGTAACCCATCTCCTAAACCCAAAACCCCCCAATAGGGGTGTAAATGGACTATTTAGTTGAATTCGGATCACCCCTGTTTGGATCTTTGGGTCAGATTTGGATCACCCCTATTTGATCCGATATATGTTATATATTTATAAATACAAATATATAATACATGTATATATGTTATTAATTTATTTATAAATATATTATTTATATTGTGTTTGTTTAAACTTGTTATATTATTTTTTATAAAAAACATGTATATATATAATGAAAATAATTAAAAAATACTTATATTTTTGTTTTTTCTTTATTTAAATTGATATATTTTATTTTTATTTTAATAATTTATTAATTTTAAAAAAAGCAAGTCGAATCGGATAAGCTCCAACTTACCGATATGATTTGAATTCAAGTCGAGGCCTATCAAATCCAATTGGATCCGACATAAACAGCTGGATTGGATTCTGATATACCTGATTCGAATCCGATCCGATCTGATTGCATCCCTAACCCCCAACCTACCAATGTTCCCTTTACTGTTTGGTTGGTCAATTTCTAAGAAATTGATAAATCGCTCAGAAAACGATAATTAAAATCAGACGTAAAAGAAGAATAAGCCGATTTCTTTGGATGACATGGCATCCGACATGGATAAGGGATTTCAGAAATTGTAATCCGATTTCTCAGTGTCCCAAATAAACAATTTCGCTGATTTTTGAGAAATCAGCAATCTCAAAAATCAGCAATTTCTGAGAAATTTCATGGGACGAATCATCAATGGTACCAATCATCACCTAGGTTAACCCTTGGGCTTCACATGTTCATTTGCTAAAATACACCAAAAAGAACAATATTCAAATGCACCAATGACTAAAAACTTAGTAAGAGAGATGCTTTCAAGCTTCTTTATATCGTCAACAATAATAAGATTGGAGTCAAGATAGATGACATGATCAATACCGGGCAAGGTTCAAAATATCGATATGCCCGATACGTCGGTATGGGCGTATCAGGCGAATCGATACTATTTTTTTTTTTTTTTTTTTTTTTTTTTCTGAAACCGGTTTAGGGGGGCGGTTTAGGTCTCCTCCATCCCCTGAACTGGTCAGACCCCCGATACACCCACTATAGGGGCGTATCAGTGGGGTCTCAGAACGATACGTATCGACTGATACGGGCTGAAACATGTTGATACTTTGAACCTTGATACCGGGCTTGAGTGTATCAGCCCCCGTCTTCCCCCTAATATTTATATCTATTTCTATACTACCTATAAAAGAGCGAATACCCTTCTTTATGTAATTTTCATTGGGCGTTTTTTATCCTTTTGTCTAAGCATACAACAGGTATAAAGAGGGCATATATGTCCTTTACTCTCACATCATAAACTACCCACTTATAACCGTTCAAAAACTGATAGGGTGTTGGAACCAAGGTTCAAAATATCGATATGCCCGATACGCCCTGGCGTATCGGGCGCTTTGATACCTGTTTTTTTATTTTTTTATTTTTTTTCAAAACTGATTCAGGGGAACCAGTCTAGGACCCCTCCATCCCCTAAACCGGTCAGACCCCCGATACACCCACTGTAGGGGCGTATCGGAAGGGTCCCAGAACGATACATATTGGCCAATACGGGCCGATACGTAACGGTACTTTAAACCTTGGTTGGAACCATGCATTATAACTGTTCAGAAACTGCCCACTTAATACCTTAATTAATTTTTGGATAAATAAATTATAAAAAGTGACCATAAATTATAAATAGTTGTCTTAGAGATACTGCCACGTGCAAATGCACGTACACGTTTAGTAGTAACACATTAATGATAATAAGCATTTTGGTAACTTTAACATCAAATTAAAGGGAGGCATTTGCACTTTTTTCTTGAAAACGTCAGGCGAGATTTTGTTAGGGCCAAAACACAGGAGAGGTTTATATGATTGTTACAAAAACAATGGGACATTTTTACAATTTTCCCCATTTATAAATGGGAAAAGGTTCTTTTGCTACTGCAGTATGCTCGGTTTGTACATGTCCTCAATATAAAATGTTTGATTAAATCTCTGTATCTTAACTACCAAGGCTTTTCAGCACAGTTCAATCACAATTATCATTCAATTGGACCATTGTCGTAGATCAGCAATGATCCAAGGTTCAAAATATTGATACATGTATTGGTGGCCTCCCAATACACCCCTACAGTGGGTGTTTCAGGGCCTGACCTGATTCAGGGGGTAGACAGGCTTTAAATGACCCCTATGAACCAGTTTGAAAAAAAAAACAATAAATAAATAAATAACTAAATAAAGCGAAGCTCGGCACAAGCTGATACACCTTTGAACCTTGCAATGATCAATTCTAATTGTGCTGACAAATACCTTATGTCCATGTTACAACCGTTTCTGCGTGTGCAAGTTGAAAGGGGGAAGTTGCTTGAGTTGCATATTTTGGTATTTTGTTCTAATTACATAATCTGAGAATGTCCAATCAATTTCTCAAATGCCATACGTTTTTTTCTTTTTTTCTTTTTTTTTTCTGTTAAGATGGGACCAGTTTCAGAAAGGATTGATCAATGATTTTGATTTAAAACACAGAAATAAAAGGCAAAGTTTGTGCCAAAAGGAGAATGTTTTATCGATCATCCTTAGAAAGTCTTCACTGCCGAGCCCTATCTTGCAGAGGCTACTATGTCATGGTATAATTTGAATTTGTGGTAATTGCAACCTAAGATCCCTGAAAAGATGGCAATCCTATTCCTTCCCACAAGATCAGGCTTATGAAATGGGGATTTTTTTTTTTCCTTTCCCATCCATTTTGCAAACACTTATAATGGCTTACAGATGTCCCTTTAAGTTAACAAACTGCAGTGGGATGGGAATAGGCATGGCCCTCCACTAGCCTTCATCAAATCACCATACAGTCTTCATCATAAGTAATTAAGTAATCAGCACAAGTAATTTGATGTACAATAATTCCCTTAGACTGCAGTCGAGTAGGATGGAACTTCTGCAGTTAAGTGGATAAGTGACTCATTTTATTGATTGGGGAACTTGTGAAATTACAAGGATTGATCAAATTCTCAACTGGGTGAAACGGTGGCAAAAACATCAGAAACTCTGACCATGAGGTTGGTGTTCTGTGCAATTTATCTTGCCCAGCTTATATTGATTTAATCAAAGATACATTTCAACCGAGCCCTCTTCTCCCATCTAGAAACTGCATACGTTGAGTCAGGCAGACAGCTTTGGACTCTTGGTTTGTATAGAATGTATTTATGTGCTCTTTTAATATACATTTTAATACAAAATTCAATTTCCCATCCTCACTTTATGGTTAAATTGGTTTCAAGTTGCAGAGTAGCAAGCTGCTTGGTTAACAGTAATGCATGCAAAGCTTCTGAGAGGTTGCAACTTCAGATGTTCTTTCTTTCTAAGGGTGTTCCTGGTAAACAAACATGAATATATAAATACAGATAAGGCAAAAATAAATCAGTCTAAAACATGACAAGATGCAACAACAGGCCATACAGAACTCGTTCTGCTTAAATTTCCTCATCTAGCATGCCTGTGGAAGGATCTGATGATGATGCAACAAGGCAAGTTGTAAACCCCATGGGAGCAAATACAAGGAATGGGGTTGACAACAAATCAAAAGTGTAGTGGAATCTGGGAGAAATGTATTTGAACGCAAAGAGGAAACTGGGATATGTAAAGATTTAGGGTTATGACGAATTTTTCAACAACTATGCAAAAGAAAGATGTTACTTTTATTATTATTATGATGATGATGATGATGATGACAACAACAGCAATGATGATAATAACAAAAAAATGGTGCTGTTATTGTCATTTCTGTTTTTATTAAACCTAACACTATTAAAAAAGTAAAATACAAATGAAACTAATATGGATTGCCTACATATAGAAAGAACCCAAATAAAATCTACTATATAGCCTGTTAAAAACTACTATACTTGAATTCCAATTCATGCTATAACTTCTTACCATTGTTTCAAGACCAATTTTCCCATACCATTCAATTTCTTTTCTTTCATTCGTTCATTTTTTAAACTTTTGATCTTAGAAGAGATGATGAAATCTGGAGTTTGTTGAATGGAAATGACAATTTCCACCCATAATGGATTTTGACTTTGTGCAAAAAAAAAATGCCAAAGGTTAGCACCGTATCCAGTTCACCCTTTCCAAGACCCCAACATTGGCTAATGGCCCTTTTTTTGGCCTTTCGAATGAATTTTCAGGAGATAGTATATATCAAAATTCCAGACACATCATTTGGTATGTCCGGCAAATAACCAAACTCATATCCAACCCCCCCCCCCAAAAAAAAAAAAAAAAAAAAAAAAAAAAAAAAAAAACGAAAAAAAAAGAAAACCAGACTGATATGATCCAATAAATATATGCTTGGTTCCTGAAGTAAGAAGGTTTCACACCAAATGCAAACCATGGTCAATGTCATAAATATTGGATGTAAGTAAAAAGGAAAAAATCTTACAAGTTATCCTGTTAGAGGTATCCTGTATCCTTAAACTCCGGGACCAACTGCAAATAAACTAATAAGACCTTGGAATACTTGTGCTGAGAGTTGGTGTGCTTCAAAGAGTTCGCCATCCAAGTTCCAGACACTTGTATCACCAATAGAAGTAAACATGAAAGCTTTGGTCTGCATATAAAAGGATGAAATAATTACAGAAATAATGTGGGTAAAACTTTATTATATAATAAACCTTACTTCCGCAGAACCTCTCCCTTCTTCAATACAAATATTTCATTTACCAAAGAGAAATAAAGAAGCGCTGTAGGTAAATAAAGAGATAAGCTAGAGATGATGGTACATACTTTATGGTGTTCTACAAACTTGAAATTTAAGGGCTCACCACCCTTCCTGGCAACCTGTGTAAGATGCCTGTAAATAAAAAAATACAACTACTTCCTCAAAAACATATGATGATAAAAGTGAAAATAACACCAAATTAAGGGTGATTACAGAGATAGACAATAGAAACAAATGATATTGGAAAAGAAAATGAAACTGAAACAAACATTATACAACATACAACAGAAGTCACCAGAAATTGACCTACTAAACCATGTTAGTCAAAATCAAAAACTGGGGAGAACACATAAAAGGACTAAATTACCATAGATAGAGAGCACGAGGACACTCTTTTATTAGTACCAGATGCAGGAAACCATCTGCAAGGTGTGCATCAGCCACTAAACCATCAGGAGCTCTTTCATTACGACAAGAGATGACCGCTGCACCTACACTAAGAAAACGCCCCTTGGATTGCAACCACCTTAGTGCTTCAGATGTGTCGTCAGTCTTTATTGGACCTTCTGAAGGTGTACAAATTGACTTAATGGACCCACTACAGACACTGCAGTTAACACAGCAAGCTAGTCTTCTAGATTTTTTTGGTGGATTCCACAGTGATCGTGTCCAACTACGCTGAATATCTTTCTCATGGATTTGATTTTCATTTTCCGTTTTAGCTTCTAGAAATTTTATCTCTGCTTCATATGACCTAAGGAAGGGACATGGCATGATCATGGTGGAGAAGAAACATGAATCTCAAATCAAATCAGTACAAGATGCATCTTGGCAAGTGATATAAGTCTTGAATGCGTTTAGACTTCATATTTACTATAAGTAAAAACAAAGGTTAATTAACAAGCTGGCATCTTGTCAATAGTTGAAATAAAAAGGGTCAATATCAACACTTCCTGTACCATGCTATAAACAAATTGGGTTATTACACTCAAGGATACATAAAGCAAATATTGGGTATTAGGGGGGAAGAAGTACCTGTGCTCCAAAAATACCTTTGTTCCTGCAAAATCATAGCGTATAGGACCCATCCAGCGGTAATTTTCACTCTCCTTGATGACATCCCCAAAAAATCCATATCTGGCAGAGGTGGAAGCCCATTTATAAAAAGAATAGAAATCCCAAATATGCAAATATCACAATACATAAAAAAGAACAACCTAAAATAAAATGAACTACCAGCATTAGTAATCTCCATCATATTGGCAAAAAATGTAAAACACTTCATCAGACCTATCTAAAAATTAATTGTAACTTGTTCTTTATATATATATATATATATATATATAAACAAAGTTTCTGGGTACTACGGCAGACAGTACGGAAAATAATAAGACAGGGATAATAGCATTTTGGTCTTTATCAATAGATACTTTAAATCATTTTATTTCTTTCAATTTTGTTACAAGAGATATCTAAAACGGATACAGCATTATTTCCTTGCATCTAAGTGGGGCCCACTTTAAATAGAATAACAAACCACTATTTGCTAGAAGGTCTACGCATTTTACTATCTGATAAGTATTCTAAGTGTGAAATAATTGAGTTGTATGTGGATTAGAAATCTTAACTAATAAATTACTACAGCAACTAACCTAACCTTGGCCAAACTAAAAATAAGGAGTAATAGAACACACACATAGTTTACAAAGCCTCTTGTATCCACAAAGTAATACACAGTTAAGACAATAATAAACATCCAAATAAATCTTAGACCTCCTAAAGAAAACTATATACAGGACAGAAATTACCCAGCAAAAGAAGCAGCATAACGTACAGAGGGTGCACCCCTTGATGAACTTGTCTTCCTCCATATAACAACTTGAGCTATATCAAGGCATACCCTTTTACCAAGGACAATATCCAGAGCAGATGTCACAGGATCCCTAGCACCAGTTGTACTGAAAAAATAGGAATGCAACACTCATTTACAAACTATTATGTGAAATTAATGTAATAAAACCTTTTTTCATGACTACCTTTATCATATACACAATCAAAAAGATAACATGGGACTTTACATGGTTAATGAGTATAAACCATGTAACACACACACATACAAAGAGAACAAGGAGAACCCCTTCAACATCAAGAACCATATTCTTGACCTGAGAATAGATTTACCCTTGTCCATTATCATAGCTTTAGAGATGTCACTAAGTTATAGAATACCGTTCAAGAATAAATAAAAAAACAGATAATTGTTGATAATAAACTCTGAGATACAGTTGGGTAAAGAGAACTGCTAACTCACTCGCTGATGGGTTAGCCATGCAAGGGGTGAATAGGGGATCTTTCTCTTGACAGTGTAGTCGGCCAGAGATAAGTGGAAGAGGAGAGAAGAGAAGAGA